AATTAATTAATTAATTTTATTAAATTTTTTATTCAATTAATTGAATAAATTTTTTACTGAAATAATTTAATTTCTCTCCAAAATTTGAATGAGTAAATTTTTCTAATAAATAGTAATTTTTACTAATTCAAAAGCAAGAAATCGGTCAGTAATTCAAATTTAAAGAATTCTATTTTATTCAATTAATTGAATTGCATTTTTCATTCAATTAATTCAAATTAATTTTTTATTGAATTAATTTAATTCCTTTTTTATTCAAATAATTTTTCATTAAATTGACTTAATTTCTTTTTTTTTATATAATTAATTGAATTAAATTTCTTATTCAATTAATTAAATTAAATTTTTTAATTCAATTTTTTGAATAAATTTTTTTAATGAAATAATTTAATTTCTCTCCAAATTTGAATGGGTAAATTTGTCTAATAAATAGTAATTTTTTACTAATTTAACAGCAATTGAATTAATTTAATTCTTTATTTTATTTAATTGATTTAATTCTTTTTTTTTATTTAATTAATTTCATATAATTTTCCATTCAACAGATTCAATTTCCTTTTTTATTCACTTAATTAAATTGAACTTCTTTAATAAAGAAAAAAAAACAATTGTTTATTATTATTATTCGTATGAAAAGAGAGGGGAAAAATGACTAAAATTTTTTTTGAAAATTATTAGGAAAAAAAAATAAGAAGTAGAAATAAAGAATATGCCGAAATGGTGATGACCGGAATATGACCCACTTGTGTTTATATAGAAAAGTGACCAGTCCGCCTACCTATTTTTTTTTGTATTATAATTTATGCGAAAAGAACCCAAGGTAGGGTCAATGTCGTCTCGCATTTTACACTGAATATGTCATACGTATGTGCACTCACGCTCACTTACATCTCTCAGTTTCACGACCCACTGTTTCTCTGACAAAACAACTGCGGCATAAATTTTACAGATCATTAACCCAAGTGGAATTTTTCACTTCCTTACTTCCCTTTAAAACACTGCATACAATTTTCAATTATTGAATAACAAATGACATGAATTTATTTTGTGAATGCAAAAAAATTGTTGAAATACTTCCAAAATTATTTCAATTTAACTATGGAAAATTATTTTTTATTGCTATTCTTTTCTTCGTTCTTACGTCATTTCTGTTATTTAACAAGAAATGCGATTTTAGGTATTTAACATTTTTTTTTATTTTTAATAAAAAATGCCTTTATCAGCTATTTAATTTTTTTTTTATTTATTTACTTTTCTGTTAGTTCATATTTTATTGTTTGTATTTGTATTTTCGTTTATTAAATATTCGCTGAATAAAAGTATTTCAATAATTTACTCAGGGAATATTCAGCGAATACTTTTTTTAAAAAATTTATTTTTTATTTTTGATTTATTCAATTTTTCTTGTTCATATTTTATTATTTGAATTTATATTTTCGTTTATTAAATATTCGCTCAATAATTTATTCAACGAATATTCAGTGAATACTTTTTTTTAAACTTTTATTTTATTTTAAACTTTTTTATTTTATTTTTGATTTATTCAATTTTTTTTTGTTCATATTTTATTGTTTGCATTTATATTTTCGTTTATTAAATACTTGTATTCGAAAAACAATTGAAATACTTGAAATAAACTGAAGAGAAAAGGAAATTTTCGTTGAAATGAAAAAAAAAATTTTTTTTGATGTTATAATATTTGAAAAAAAGAAAAAACAAAAGAAACAAACGAAACACTTTCAAGTGTCTCAATTTGTTTTCGCGTACCAAATTCCTATACAGACAGAATCCGTTATATTGAAGCAAACACGTTTCAAGAAAATCTTTCTTTCGTTATACAAAGAGCCTATATCGGAAGGCGCAGATCACCTCTCGGTGAGGCAGATAATTATACATAAAATTGATGGTGGGGAAAAAAAAGAAATTCAAAAACGATTCTTAATGCATATGTACTTGACGCTTCATATGTAAAATTTACTGTAAATATAAGCATATAATAATGAGTCTCAAACACGTCATGACTTTTTGAATAATGATCCAATTTTTTTTGCGCATTCAACAATTCTCGTTCATTAGCAAAGTGTAATTAAAATTTTACTTTCTTTATGAAGTATAAAAATGATGTTGATTGACTTGGAGATAAATTATTATTTTTTTTTTACTTTTAAATTGTGTTGTGAATAATAAGAGAGTCGCTGAAAATATTGCTTGTCAATTTTATATCTTTTTGATGCTTTATTAATGGAGGAAGAAAGGGGAAATTTTTAAAAAAAATTTAATCTTTGGAATTTACATAGAGAATGGAAATTAAAATGCAAAAGAAGTGGAAAAATTATTACAATAGAGGAAAATAGAAAATGAAAGGAAAATTCAGGTTTAAGGAAAACCTGGAAAAGTCAGGGAATTTTATAAACCTTGAAAAAACCTGGAAAAGTCAGGGAATTTTGATCGAAATCTTGGAAAATTGTTGTTTTCTAAAGTTATTGTGTTTATTGTGTTTTATTGTTTTAATCTAATTTCACATAAATATTTCAAAATTAATTCAAGTTTAAAAGAATTGCGTTTACAATTTTTATAAGCAGATGAACTTCAAAAGATTTTGATTTAAAATTTTGTAAAATTTCAATTTTTAAATTAATTTAATTAGAAATATAAAAAAAAACTTAGATTTGAAAAAAATTTTTAAACTAAAATTCTTTTGAAATTAGTTTTATTAATTAATTTTATTAAAATCCGTCAAAAGAATTTAATTCCTATATTTAATTGATTACTAAAAATAATGGATTTATAGAAGAATTTTAGTTAAAAACACTAAAAAAATTGAATTTTGAAGCAATTAAAAATAATAAAAATTAAATTATTTTCAAAAGTTGTAAAATTCTTCTCAGAAATTCAATTATTTTCAAAAAATTTAATAACATTCTTGGCAAAATTTTAATTATTTTCAAAAACTTTCCTCAATTCAATGATTTTTATAATATCTATTATTTTAATAAAATTTTCCCAAAAGAATTCAATTAGTTAAAAAAATTTTTAATAAAATTCTACGCAAACATTTCATTATTTTCATAAATAATAAAAATTCCACAGGAATTAAATTATTTACTAATTATTTTCATAAATGATAACATTCTTTTGCAGGGACTCAATTATTTTCATAAATAATAACATTCTTTTGCAGGGACTCAATTATTTTCATAAATAATAAAACTCAATGCTGAATTTCAATTATTTTTAAATTTTAATACAATTTTAATTGAATTCCTTGAAAAAATTTATTATTCTTAAAAATTTTATTTAAATTTATCAAAGAAATTCAATTTCTTTAAAAACCTTTGCTACAATTTATTTATTAGAATTTAAGTATTATTTTCAATACATTTTTAATTAAATTTCTTTAAAGAATTAAATTATTTTCAAAAATTTTAATGAAATTCTTTGCGTAACAATTCAATTTTTTTCAAAATAATTTTAATAAAATTCTTCGCAGAAATCCAATTATGTTTAAATATTTACAAAATTTCTCGTCAAAATTTCAATTATTTTTATAAATAATAAAATTTTTCTCCGAAATTCAATTATTTAAAAAAATTTTAATAAAATTCTTGGCAAAATTTCAATTATTTTTAATACAATTTTCATCAAATTTCTTGAAAATGGCAATTATTCTTGAAAATTTTATTAAAATTTGTCAAGAGAATTCAATTATTTAAAAATTTGTTGATAAAATTCTTTATGAAAATTCAATTTTAAAAAAAATTCAATTGTTTAATAAAATATTTATTTTTATAGTTAAATAATTGAATTCTCGTAGAATTTTCTAATTAATATTTATTTAAAAATGAATTTCAAATTAAAATCTTTGAAAATTTGAACTTTTTATACTTTTAAATTTTAATGAAGAATTCTATAAAATTAATTTTTCTCAATAAGTTGAATATAGAATTTTTTTTAATTATTTGAAGTTTTTAATTTCTAATATATTTAATTGAAGAATGTCAGAATAATCGAAATTTCGTAAAATTAAATTGTAAACAAAAGAATTTGAAAATTCAAAAAGAACTTTTTCAAAAATTATTTTTAAAAAATTGACTTAAAGAAGAATTTTAGTTGAAAATTCTAGAAATGAATAATCGTAATGATTATTCTAGAAAATAGGAAAATAGAAAATAAAAAGAAAATGCAAAAGAAAGCAAAAATGATTGTAGAGGAAAATAGAAAATAAAAAGAAAATGCAAAAGAAAGGAAAAAATATTGTAGAGGAAAATAGAAAATGCAAAAAAAAAATGGAGAAATTGTTATAGAGGAAAAAAAAATAAAAAGAAAGGGCAAAAGAAAAGAAAAATTATTATAGAGGAAAATAGAAAATGAAAATAAAGTGCAAAAATTTTATAGAGGAAAATAGAAAATGAAGAAAAAAGAAATGGAAAAATTATTATTATAGAGGAAAATAGAAAATGAAAACAAAATGCAGAAAAAATGGAAAACTTATTATAGAGGAAAAGGGAAGACGAAAAGAAAATGCGAAAATTACTAATAAAGAAAAATAGAAAATAAATGCATAAGATTGACAATGAAAATTTGTTTGGAAAAAATATTTGTCATCCGACAGAAATTGAATATTACTCAATTTCTTCAAATTCCGTTTTTTTTGGGATTATATAATTTAGAGTAGAAAAATTTATTCGTTTTGATAATATATTCTTCATGAAAAAAAAATCATCCGGTATAAATTATATTTTTATATTGTGAAAATAGGAAAACTTTCACTGAATGAGATAAATCGATGCAACTTTTCTTTCAAGAAGTATATATATAATAATAATTCTGAAAGGAAAAAGTTTCGAGGAATATCAAAAAAAGAAATTATATTTGAGCAAGTTATATTCATATAAATATATACATGCGTATTTTTTTTTCCTTTTTTTGAATACGCTCGTTAAATTTGAATGCAAGTGCGGAGAACAATCTTATTTATGTAAAGTGTAATTGTAACTTGCCTCCAGACAGGAATTGTGGAATGTACAAAGGATTTGCTGTTACTGTTGCGAGCATCAAAACATTGTAGATGTGGATGGTTGCCCAAACGTGCCTTCGTCGGTCTCTCATCTGCAACAAAGTGGAAAAAGAAAATTGCATGAAAACGATATTATATTATTAAATAACTTTTCATTTTTAAATCACGCGCCTAGATTTTTATCGCACTTTTACGAAAAAAAAGTTCACTTTGTTTTTTTCATGGGCAAAAAAATAGTTTGCTTTGTTTTTTATTTCATGGGCAAAAAAAAATAGTTTGCTTTGTTTATTTTCATGGGCAAAAAATAGTTCACTTTGTTTTTTTTTCATGGGCAAAAACATAGTTCACTTTGTTTTTTTTTTCATGGGCAAAAAGAAAGATCACTTGCTTTTTTTTCATAGACAAGAAAAATAGTTTGCTTTGTTTTTTTTTATGGGCAAAAAAATAGCTTGCATTTTTTTTATTGATGGGCAAAAAAAAATTTGAATGTTGAGAATATTTTTTTTTATAATTTCGTAAATTGTGCAAATTCCCACGAAACGGACCCGCGACAATGTAAGGTGACTTATTTATAGTAAAAGCAACATTCTGAGAAATTTCCCACGGGATGGACGAATAACCGTTTCTAGAATATAGCGGATTCGTTATAATTACGTTCGTTTTTTTTCGGTGTTTGTAAATCTTTCCTTCTTTTTGGAAATTTTTTTTTTTAATAATTTTTAACAACTTTGAACAAAAATATTAATTATTTTTTTCTTTTTATTCTCTCACACTTTCGTAATTATTGACATCAGTTTCTCTATTTGGAAATAATGTAAATTTTTCTTTTTTGAATAAAAAAAATCGAAAATTCCAAATTTCTCAAAATCAAGGTAGAAATTAATTAGCATGATAAATTTTTCGAATGGTTTCAATTAGAAAATGGGAAAAAAATATCAGGAACCACAATTATCTCCTTTTTTTCGTCGTTTTCCATTTTCTATCTTCACTTTAATTAATAAAATCTTCTTACAATATCTAAAATTCTGCAAATTTTTCCCTTTCTCTCCTTTTTTTTAAATACTTACAAAAATTGTCAATTTTTTTTAAATAATAAGAAATTTTTTTAGTTATAATGAAGAAGAAAATTTTCTTCTTCATTAAACTAAAAAATTTCTACTTTTTGCAAGCTGGGAAAATTTTACTTTTTTGAAACCTAAAAATCTTTTTATATATTATATTCTAAAATTTTTTAAACTTGGAAATTTTTTTATACAAAAAAAAATAACTTTCACTAGTTACAAAGTAAAATTCAAAATGTTCGGAATAAAATAAATTTACTCTGGAAATGATTTTTAATGGCAAATTTTACTATTTCCACGTAGTTATTTTTTGTTAAAAAATTTTTTCAAATTTTCTTCGAATTTGATAATTTGTTAATTTATTAATTCGAATTTGTTATCAAAAATTATTATTTCCCGAGTAAATTTTACTACTTCTAAAGTAAATTTTTCTAATTTTTATAAAGAAATTTTCTTTGGAAATACTAAGAGTTATTCTGGAAATAACAATTTTAATAGTAAATTTTTCTAATTTTTATTAAAATTTGCTTTCTATACTATAAAATTTCCTCTAGAAATTAAAAATCGTTAATTTCAAATTTAATAGCAAATTTTAATAATCCTAAAGTTAAAAACGTTTAAATAAACGATTCTTTTTTTGACAGTTTGTTAAAAATTGAATTACACAAAAAAAATATTTTATAATTTAAAAATGTTAATTTCTGACTAAATAAACATTAATAAATTAAATAATTAACCTTTTTTTTCATTTTATTATCGTAATTTTCGAAAATATTTAGAAATCAATAATTTTGTTCATTTCAACATTCAAAACTTTAGAAAAATATTTTTACTATTCTCACAAGTTAATTTTTGTTAAAAAAGAATTTGACGGAAGGAAATTTTACTAATTTTTATTAAAATTTACTTCTATTTTAAAATTGACTAGGAAATAATAATTTTTATTAGCAAATTTTACTATTTTCAGAATTAATTTTCATTGGAAAGATTTTAAAAATTTTTCTTCGAACGTAGTACAATTTGATATTAAAAATTATTATTTCCAGAGTAAATTTTACCAAAAGTAAATTTTTCTAATTTTTATAAAGAAGTTTTCTTTGAAAATAGTAAAAGTTCTTCTGAAAATAATTTTTAACAGTAAATTTTACTATATTTTTAAGAAAATCTGAAGTAAATTTTACTAATTTTGACAGTCATTTACTTCAGATTGAGTAAAATTCATACTTCTGATGTAAATTTTTCTAATTTTTAGAAATAAATTTTCTTTGGAAATAGTCAAACTTATTCTGTAAATAAAAATTTTTAATAGTAAATTTTACAATTTTTAGAGGAAATTTTAGCAAATATCCGAAGTAAATTTGACTAATTTTTACTGAAATTTACTTCGATTTCAGGTAAAATCCATGGAATTTTAAAACAAAATTAGCGCTTTTTTAAAATTTTTTTTCTTGAGAAAAAAAATTTTGATTTAATTTAAAAAATTCGTATTAGACTACGAAAAAATAGTTAAGGGCTCAACAGACAATCAGAGAAATTAGGAAAATGTCAGTATTTCATTAAAAGTACTGGAAAAATATCAAATTTTTAGAATTACTAAAAAAATTCTAGTTTTTGATTCTTATTTATTTTTTAAATAAAAATTAAATTAAAAACCTTGAATTTACCTTGGATTTTTTTACCTTGAAAAGTTTTGAATCATACTATTAATTTTACAGGAGTGCTTTAATTTTTTTTTTAGTACAGTAAATAATATTAAATTTATTTTAAACAATTAAATTAGAGAATTACATTTCCAAAGTTGTTAATTATAATTAACTGAGAAGAGATTTTAGTTAAACAAAATAGCAATTTTTGTAAAGTTACTTGAATTTTAAAATAATTTTATTGAAGAATTATCAAACTAATTGAAATTTTTTTGTTCGTGGAATTTGAAAACCAAAGTAGCGTTCTAACAAAAACTTTGATTCAAAAAGAAAATTTAGAAAAATTGTAGACTATGGAAAGAGAAAAAAATATTAGAAAAATGAATAGAAAAAATTGTAATAAGAATCTGATTTGAAAATGCTGCAATTAAGGGGAAATTAAATTGATAAAAATTTTTAATTCTAAAAATTAACTGTTTACATTAAGCATAATAGTCTTTTACTAAATTCAAAAAATATTTTTTTACACTGAATTCCCCTTTTTAAATTAAAATTCCCTTTTTTTACCTATTTTATTACAAGAAAAATAATTTTACTTATAAAATTCATTGTGAATGTTTCTCAAGTTCTGAACGTTCAAATGTCAGAAATATTTTGTCATTATAGATATTTTCAACAATTACTGATTACAACAGAAATTAAAAGTATAAATAAAATATTTTTAAACTTGAAAATTTATATTTTGAAGAAATGGCACAAAAAAACAGAAGTTATACTAAAAAAAATTTTAATTAATTAAAGGAAATGAATTTATCATTCGGTAATTAAATATTAAAGGTGAAAGAGCTTATTTAAGAGATTTATTTGTGTGATTGATTCTTTCACCTTTAATAAAAAAATTTTAATTCGAAAAAGAAATAAATTCGGTTTACTTGAACGTTCAGAATTTTAGGATCATCATTGTGAGTTCTAAAATATTAATCCAGACTAAAATTTTGATTCTCGATTAAAGAATCGGGGATTTTTTCCCTTCCAAAAAAATAAATAAATAAAATAGCGAGACACTCTTTGTTTGTTCAATGTCAAATATCCGTGACGGCTAATTTCTGCATGCGAAACAAAAAGTATATCTCTCTCCTTATACTTTTAACTTGCTTGAAGCGTGACCAATACTATAATTTCTCGTACAAAACGAATCAGCGAGCGAATAAGAGGTCGTTGAACGGATCCGGGAAGAAGATCATTTAACAAGATTGGTTATCCTCTGTATATACAACTTGGTACATCGACAAACTACCTGCGAAACAGCCGTGAATGGCTATTCGGATTGCATGAGCGAGAAAGGGAAAAGAAACGGCATTTACCTTATTATACATATACATATACACATCACGAACCTTAGCATAATTCAACTCGTTCCTAATTACGCAGTTTCATTGCTAAATCTCCGATTATTTCAGAGAAAATCATTTAAATTTCGTTGCTGCTTCTGCTGCTGCTGTTGTTGTTGTTGTTCTTGTTTAATCCAATCGCGAATTCTTTTTTCTCAAGAAAAATATTTTAATTCAAGTATACACTTTACTTCTCTTGCAGTTTACGTATTTTACGTATTTTACGTACTGCTTGCTTTTGCACGAAAACACACAATTTTAAAAGCTTTTACTTTTATCTGTCATTATCTAAAAGTCGTCTTTTTCTTTTCTTAATTTTTTTTTATCGAAATTTTCGTCTTTTTACCGTTTCCTAATTTTTATTGATGCGGAAACATTTTTTTGGACACAAATAGTTTTTGGACAAACAAATCTTTTATTTGTCCTTGCGGTAAACTTGCTGAAAGCAAAAAAAGCGAAAAAAGGAAAAAATTATAAAAAATAAAATTAAAAGAAACAAATCAATATTTGAAACTATAAAGTTGCAACTAGTTCTTATGATTAATAAAAGAAAATTGCTTACATGAGCAAATAAATAAAATTATTACCTACTCTGAGTATTATATCTTAAGAGCAAAATATAATTCAATTGAATTCATTTATTTTATTATTTATTTCTTTTATTTCATTGCAAAAAAAAAATAAATTATATTGAGCATGTAATACTTGTGGAGAAATAAATAAAATTCAAGTCTGATGTGCTATAGAACATCCTGCATAACCACAACGAACAAATGGAACTACACATGTTTCTTATGCTGTTATATATTTATCATTATCACAAATGAAACTTTGAAAATAATAACAAAAAATTTGGAAAATTATAACAAAATTTTAAAAAATTATAACAGAAAATTGGAAAATAAAAAAAAATTCGAGAAAAATCTTTATCGAAACAAAAATTACTTAATGAGCAAATAAATTTCTATTTTCGACAAAATAAGATAATTACTAAAAC